GTTCTCTGCAACTAATGGCTGGAATTCAACGAAACTTTATGGGAATGTTGATCAGCATGTGAAGTTGTGCACCTGGGTATTTTCGTCTGGATATTTTTAGTATTTTTAGAGTTATTACCCTTGACTCAGTAAAATTTTGTCTGAATTTCGTTTCCGGAGTAGTTCTCTGCAACTAATGGCTGGAATTCAACGAAACTTTATGGGAATGTTGATCAGCATGTGAAGTTGTGCACCTGGGTATTTTCGTCTGGATATTTTTAGTATTTTTAGAGTTATTGCCCTGGACTTAGTAAAATTTTGTAATTTTCAACTTGTGTCGCATTTAACTCAAAAAGTATTTGACCTAGAGTCATGAAACTTTACAGGAATGTTGATCAGTATGTGTAGTTGTGCACCTGGGTATTTTTGTCTGGATATTTTTAGTATTTTTAGAGTTATTGCCCTGGACTTAGTGAAATTTTGTAATTTTCAACTTGTGTCGCATGTAACTCAAAAAGTATTTGACCTAGAGTCATGAAACTTTACAGAAATGTTGATCAGTATGTGTAGTTGTGCACCTGTGTATTTTCGTCAGGATATTTTTAGTATTTTTAGAGTTATTGCCCTTGACTCAGTAAAATTTTGTCCGAATTTCGTTTCCGGAGTAGTTCTCTGCAACTAATGGCTGGAATTCAACGAAACTTTATGGGAATGTTGATCAGCATGTGAAGTTGTGCACCTGGTATTTTTCGTCTGGATATTTTTAGTATTTTAGAGTTATTGCCCTTGACTTAGTAAATTTTTGTAATTTTCAACTTGTGTCGCATGTAACTCAAAAAGTATTTGACCTAGAGTCATGAAACTTTACAGGAATGTTGATCAGTATGTGTAGTTGTGCACCTGGGTATTTTCGTCTGGATGTTTTTAGTATTTTTAGAGTTATTGCCCTTGACTTAGTAAAATTTTGTAATTTTCAATCACAATCATCAGTCACACGGGCCAGAAAAGGAGTTTCAAAAATGCAAAATTAAAAAATCTTGTCTGACAGTACAAGGCCTAGAGCTTTGATATTTGGTATATGATATAACATATATAGGTCCTCTGCCAAAATTGTTCAAATTTTAGCCCTGGGGTCAAAATTGGCCCCACTCCAGGGGGTCATAGATTTTCCTTATATGTATATAGTGAAAACTTAAAAACTCTTCTTGTTTGAAGGTACAAGGCTTCAAGTTCAAAGAATTTTACAGTTTATGCCATGATTAATATATAAATAAAGCCTTATGTCTTCAGTTGTTGTGTTAATAATAACCAGTACTTGGCGGGGGATATAAATTCAACGAATTTGCTTGTTTTGTTTGTTTTTGTTTGTTTTGGGTTTTATGTCACATCGACACAGTATAGGACTGGTCATATCGCGACGTTTCAGCTTTACTGGTGGAGGAAGACCTCAGGTGCCCTTCGTGCATTATTTCAGGCACTAAGAGGCACCTGAGTATAACCACCGACGTTCCGTAAGCTAGCTGGATGTACATGCCATAGCAAAGGTACAGTGCAAATGACCATAGAAATTATTTCATGATCAATCACAACAAAAGTGACCTGCGCCATGCGGGAATTGAACCCGCTTCCCTTGATTCACAGTCCAACACTTTACCTACTGAGCTTACTGAACAGCTTTTGCGTGGATGTGCTGGCTCCCATTGCTCTTTTATACTGGTGGCAATAAGTCAATCTGCAATCATTCAGTTCCAGCAATGATTATATACATGTTTACTTTGTCATGTAATGGCAAAAGAAAAAATCAAAATAGTTTAAGCTAGGGGATCCGATTGCCACCAATTGTCAGTGGGAGTCAATTACCTTAAATATTTCTATATGATTATTGCTGCCCACTAGGGTATTGACTGAATACTACATCATTGTAAAACGTTTACTTCATAAAGAACAATGGCACACAGCATTTATTACCATACTAAAGTGACATCAATCAGGACACCAAGGTTATCAATGATATTTAATAAGTATTTAATTGTTTCCCTCGGAAGCATTTAAAGTGAAGTTGATATAATGTACTGCATCAGTTATAAGAGGCAAGTTAAATATTGATTGGTTTAGATAAGAAAAAACCTGGCTTTTCCTCTAAAAATAAAATCATCATTGTTTGATGAAATTATTCATGAAGGTTTTATCTTTTCATAAAAATCGTGTCTGTTAAAATGTAATGGAATGAAATCCATTAAGCTTAATGCAAACATGGCTTTATAGAGAGCTGACTTTTGAATAAATGATAGAACCTGATGCATATTTGAAGGGAGGTGTTTCAATGTTTTATGGGTGTTATATTGTGTTTAATAGTGTTTGCTGTATAATTTTGTCATTGTATTTAGGTGTGTAATTATTATACCATATGAAGAAGGGATCATGTATTAGTTAAGAATGATGACTGACTGAACAAACTCATGCATGGTCAATAGACTTCCAAATTTCTGCCAAATAATGGTTAGAGAACCATATGACACAGAGCCTCATGATTGCCCATATAAAATTCTATTGGACTGATGATAACACCCAGAGATTTCAATTTTGTATCATGATTGCCCATATTATTAAAGTACTTTGGGACAAATGATTAGAGAACTATAACAGCCCAAAGATTTAAATATTGTTTCATGATTGCCCATGTTATAAGTTCTAATTGGGACAGATAATAAGAAAACGATAATGACCCAGATACTGTATTTCAAATTTTGTATCATGATTGCCCATATTAATTAAGTTCTATGGGAAAGATAATTAGAGAACCATAATGACCCAGAGAGTTCAAAGTTTGTATCATGATTGCCCATATTAAATTCCTTGGGACAGATAAATAGGAAACCATAATGACCCAGTGATTTCAAATTTTGTATCATGATTGCCCATATTTAGTTCTATGGGAAAGATAGTTAAAGAACCATAATGACCCAGATTTCAAATTTTGTATCATGATTGCCCATATTAAGTTCTATGGGAAAAATAATTAGAGAACCATATTGACCCAGATTTCAAATTTTGTGTCATGATTGCCCATATTAAGTTCTATGGGAAAAATAATTAGAGAACCATAATGACCCAGATTTCAAATTTTGTGTCATGATTGCCCATATTAAATTATTTGGGACAGATAATAAGGTAACTATAATGACCAAGAAATTTTCAAATTTTGTATCATGATTGCCCATATTAAATTCTTATTGGGACAGATAAATAGGAAACGATAGTGACCCAGTGATTTCAAATTTTGTATCATGATTGCCCATATAATGTTGTATTGCTTAAAGTAGCATTATCTCTGTTAATGGACTATAATCTCACCCAGCACTTAAAAAGAGCGGGTAGAAATACTTTTGACTAAGTTGGTCTGATCTCATTCTGGTTTGGTTTAAAAAGTAAAGTCAAAGCTTGATATTTTTGCGACTTTAGCCATGTGTAGATAAAAAACAATATTTTCCTTGCATTAGATATTTTATAAGATATTTTATATGTGCACTTAATAATGTATAGATTTATATCATTTGATAGATTGCATTTAGACAACACTGTATTGTAAATACCTATTTTAATATTTAAATATGTCTGTATACATTGTGAACCTACTTGAGATGTGTGAGACAGAGATTGGTGATATAAATTGTGTAAATAGTTTTTCCTATAACACTAATAATCCACTTTCATTGTAATAAATTGTGGACATCCTCCTCTATGTAATGTATGTTTAAAGTTATATAATTATATAACTACGTCAGAGATAGCTACATTATATTGTTCAAAGTTTATTTGTTCAGTCACCGTTTTAAAATAATTGTATACTCATCATAAAATTGCTTTAGAAGCCTTTATGCTATAACAGCAATAATAATAGTTCTACAGCACCAGTATAATTATGCAGCCACGATAAATTCCACATGTATTCAGTCTTACATTAACAAGCCCAAAATCATTATTGTAAAAATCAAAATCCATTAAAATTACTTATTAACAATAATATTCAAAATTAAAAGCATTACATAATATCCATTATAGATGAACTAGTGTTTTATGGCTTACATATAAGTTATGAAATGGTTATATCTTGGATTTTTAAAAATATTTATATTTACAGTCAACTATCGTTATCTCGACATCGCTTTTCTCGAAATTTGAAATTTTGAAAGTCCCGATTTTCTTTCTTCTTTATCTTTATTGGAAATATTTGTTAATCGATATTTTTATTTCGATATTTTCAGTATCTCGATGTAAAATTTCAGCCCCAACGATTACTTTCATACTATTATTTTTTGTTTATCTCGACTAATAGTTTTCTGTCGTCTGTTCCCTTCAGACGTGTGAAAAACACAAACTAGACGATAATTGCTCAATAGCGCGTGTCATAATTATGATTATGTTTGTAACAAGTCGAGCTGTTTTTATAAAAGTTAATCTATTTAGTGTGTTGATTGACTTTTGTCCAACATGAGTGAATTTTACGTTCTTTATAAATATTCGAACATTGTATCAATTCATTATGACTTTAAATGTAAATGAAATAGTGAAAGTTTAGAAAGCTATCGTCGCAATATTGTTTCACAACATCACCACCAAATTAAATCTCGAGAAAGACCCGATAAATAACCCGAGAGGATATCCGGATCAACAAACCTGAAAACAATGTTCTCACTATATTGGTGTATTACTGAGTAAACCTCACTATGTGTTTTTATTACAGACACCCGTATTTCCGCTGGTAAACATCCGATTATGTTACTTTGTTAAATATTGACTAGGCCTATGAAAACATGGGGATACTATAGTTTATTTGACAAAAGGTATGCACATGTCTTTTGTAAAAATCAGTTTCTGCCTTATTTAAACCCTAATATTTTTATCTCGACATTTCGTTATCTCGATATTTTTTGGACGGTCCCGATGACTTCGAGATAACGAGAGTCGACTGTATATTAAAAATGTATTTTACCATAATATGTTTTTCTGTATGATTTCAGTTTGCAGTTTTGCAGTTCACAAGAGGTGTCATGAATTTGTGTCATTCACGTGTCCAGGGGCTGACGCAGGACCAGATTCCGATGTAAGTACAATGTAACCCCCGCAGAGTGGTCCTCTGTTGAGACCGATAAACTCATTACAACAACAGTTATATACTTTTTCCCACAGAAAAACTTTGCAAGAAATTTTACCACTCAAGAGCAACACCTCTTGGCTTGGCAAAAATGAAAATCTTTGTCTTACAAAATGGTGTTGCTGAGCAGAGGTTTAACATGTACTGTGTTCTGCTGTTTTGTTTGGGTAAAAGACA